GGGTTAACAGCAAGCAATGATAAAAAGAGAGACATGACCATTGAGAGAGGGGTTATGCTATGTGTACAAAGCGTTTCCCATAAAATAGCATTTCCATGTACATAGCATTTCCCTTGAGGGAATAGGGGTACTTGAGAGAGAGAGAGATGGTGAAATTTCTCCTCAATGGGGTTCTCGTAGATTTGTAATATTATGTCCACGTATGGTGGAGATTGAAATTAGATTAAAATTTTAAATTAAAGTTAATAATTAATTTAAATCATATATTTTATGAGATTTATAATTTTTCAACCACATATTTTATTATTTTTTTATTAAAATTTACTAAAAATCTGATTTTAATTTAGATCAAATAGAGGCTATATAAAATGTTTTTATAACCTTTGAGAAAATTATGCTTTTAATTTTTCATTACAAAAAAATAGGTATTATCTTTTTTATACACAAAATTAGATTTTTATTTATTTGAAAAATCAAATATATTTTTAGTGTATATTTTTATTTTGTCACTGATCATGATAATTGTGTTAGTCTTTATCCGACTTTTAATTTTATATTATACAAAATGTGATTCTTATCGTTTCAATATTATTTGGAGTTATTATTCTTTTCTTTCTTCACTGTCATTTGTGAAAGGTCATAAAGGTCACATGCATAAACTACAAGATCACAAATGTTGTATTTCATTCTTGAAAACACAAATTATTAAATCACAATTTCTTTTCGCATGTCACATTAATAGTATCATATAAAGTGATAATTATTTTTTAGACGATTTTAACCTTATTTCATTATTTCAATAATACCTTACTTTTTATTTTTGAATAAGTAATAAATACTGCAAAATCTTTGTCATGTATGAATTTCGTATTATTAATTTTCAATTAATTAACATCATATCAATCTAGACTCAATGAATCTTGATCTACATAAATCTAGAGTTTTTATGGATGAATTTAGTATAAATATATTACTCATTTATAGTATTTCATCATCACAAAAAATTTGAATTATAGAAATTGATTTTTGTGAGTACAGTTTTCTTCTCTTAAATTTGTATCTTAATTTATTTTCTTTAATTCGTTTGAGTCTCGTCAAATCCTCCCACAAATTTGTTACAAATATTACTTTTGGAGCACTTATAAAGTATTTCAAAATAACTAGTGAATACAAATGTCAAAAATTAGCATGTCATGTAGGTCACAATTGACATAGTTTTGTGAATAATATAAAGAGTACAATAACTTTTAATATGAATCTCATATCGTTCACAAAGAACATCACACACACACACACACACACAAATATGATCCACAACTTTTCAACTATATATGTCATGAAAGTTAAAATTAACGATTAATTTTAATCACATATTTAATATGATCCACAACTTTTCAACTATATATATCATCGACTTTTATTAAAATCTATTAAAAATTTAATTTTAATCCCCACCAAATAAGAGGTAAATAAGCCCATTCATGTGTTTATTATGCCCATGATCATTGAAGTTCAATGCAATTACATTAATGGTCCTATTTTCTTGAATTATTTTGCGAGTACAGAAAAAAGGGGTAGAAATTGTACACGTGCTGCATTGTATGGATGCATTTTTTTTTTCTTTTTGTGTGTTTTTATCATCTTCCAATGATAATTTGCCAGTAAAAATATATCTGTACCTATAGCATTATTTTCTTAAAGTAATAATCACTCAAATTTTCAACCCTACACTAATTATCACTTATAAGCATTAACGTTAAATCCTACCAAATTATCACTTAAGTGTCAACGTATCACTGAACAATATTATTTATGACGCAAAGTCGGCAAATCTAGAGGGCTAGGAATTGGGTATTAAATAAAGAAAAGGGATAATTACAACAGCGATACTAAACCTTTCATTTAGTTGCAAATTTTGTCCAAACCTGTAATTTGTGTCACCCACGATACCAAACATTTTCAAAATGTCGCAGTTGAAGTCTAAATGGATAGTAGTTGTTAGTATGATCGTTAGTTGGCCAAATAATTGATTTTGACAATAATTTTGACTAATTTTAAAAGGTTGACTTCTCTTTCTGAAAATGGATGCTGCAAAGAAACCTGTCGAGATAATTTACTGCAAGCATGGCAGTCAATGCTGAAAACCCATAAAGTTTTTTTGACTTTCAAGATCCATTCCATTGCATCTGTGCGTGCATGCAGAGACAGATGAGCGTGTTCCATCGACAAATGCGTCATTTTCTTTGCAGAAAAGAGAGATCAAATCTTCATCTTCCCAAAATAAATCTTGTTATGTTAACATATTAGGAAAATGAGACAGATTTCCACCATTAAAGTTGAATTTTTCATTCACTTCTTCAAATTCTCACTATTCTTCTTCTTTGCTGTAAAGGAAATCAAGCAAGGAGGACTGAACATTTTCTTCTTGAGTCTTCATCTTTATGGGTTTTGTTCATTGCTTATAATGAAGTACAGAAAAGTAAAGCCAACACCAACCAAGCCCATGACTGCCATTTGTGCAGAAAACTACCTTTAATTTGTAAAATTGATTTCAGAAAGTAGAATTCATTCGCTTGGTTGGTGGTGAGTAGATGTGTAATTATTGATTACGGATTTACGGTGGAGGAGATGGTAGTAGTGACGGCGGATGAGATGGTAGTGGTCGTGGTGATGGTTTTGGGGTGGGAGTGGATATTTGTGGGGGTGGATGGATAAGATGTTGATTTTTTTGTTTTTAATTTTAATTATTTGATTCCAGTTATTTTATTATAAAAAATGTAGAGTTACCATTTTAACCTTTTAAAATTAGTCAAAATTATTGTCAAAATCAATTATTTGGTCAACTAACGGTCAAACTAACATAAACCATCCATTTGAATTTCAGATGCGACATTTTGAAAATGTTTGGTATCGTGGGTGTCACAAATAAAATGTTTGGTAGCGTGGGTAACAAATTAAATGTTTGAAAAAAGTGTGCAATTAAATGAAATATTTGGTATCTCTGTTCCAATTATCCCTAAAGAAAATGTAATGTGGCCTTCATTTTGGTTTGACTTGTCAGCCTAATCTTCTCCTGTTTTTTTATAATAAATAATGTGATTTGATTACAAATTGACTTTCAATAGTGCTACATAAAATTTAATATTAATTTAGCAATTATTATCATAAAAAAATAATGAGAGTAACCATTAACGTAATTATTTAAAAGTTGAGACACCAAGAGTTAGTTACAAAGAGGTTTAAGGATTAAGCTATTTGTACAATGTTGGATGACAACATTGTTGACAATGTATGAGTTCATAAAATATTGTTGGTTCGAAAAATAAGTTGTTTTTCAAATTGACTAATGATAACATGCCACGGGACAATGTCAATAAAATTGTTATTCAACATTGTGCATCAAGCATAATTGAAACTTAAAGTATAATATAATAATCCTCGTTGCTTTTCAAATAAATGGACAATTCACTTTCACTCTGGTACTAGCCACCTCATTGAAAATAGAGTAATGTCATTTAGCCCCCACTTAGATTGCAATTCCAGGCTAGTGGGATTGATGGACATTAAATGATAAGTAGAATTAAATGACTTATTTAATTTTACTTTTCGTTTAATTTATCATCTAACGTCACTTAAAATGAGACTGAAATAATTATGGGACTACATAGCATTATTCTTGAAAATAACGTTAACGAACCAAAAAAGTTCGATGTTTTTCAGCCAAACTCACTGGATATAATTTTTCCTAGACGTGGACCCTTCACTCACCACCAATACATCCTATGAAATAACACAACAAACAACCTTGTACTCCTATCCTGTATATCACCTAGGGTCTCATCTTTCCCAATGGCGTTGACTGTGCGGCCGGTTTTCTGTGAGCT